TGCGTGGACTTGTGTAGGGAGCCCTCGGAAAGCAGAAGAGGCGACGACGCTGTGGGGGGCTTTCTTAGGGGTTCCCTGGGCCGTCTCAGGCGGCCCCTGGGGCCGTTCGGGGACATTCTAGGGCACTTCGGGAGGCTCTCTGGGGGGCCTTATAGGCCGTCTCGGGATCCTCTTGGAAGCACGTTGGGCCAGCTTAGACGCTGAGAAGACGAAGATAGCGAGTATACTAAACAATAGACGCTTCCCCAAGAGATCGGGACGATGTGTGCCTCGTGGGGACCCCTCGGCAGCCCTCTGGGAACACTCATCGGGCGTTTGGGGGGCTTCGTGAGCCGTCTCGAAGGCATTCTGAACCGTCGCAGGGCACCCTGAGCCGTCTCGACGCTCTCTTGAACTATCCTAGCGCGCTGTGCGGGTTATCTGAGGCATGATTGGGACTTTTTTGGATTTGGTAGCCCCAGAGGCTCCAGGGGAGCCCAGCTACCCCCCCCTTAAACGCGATGCTGGACCCCTGGGAGGGGGACAGCCAAATGTCTCACACGCCTTTTCACCCCCGGCAAGCGGGGGTCGGAGGATATCTTGAAACGTTTCGAAAACCTTTCGTGTTGGAAGGATTTCGACACGCGCACGTGGCGGCGCGCGCGTGTGGCCCGCATGGACTCTCTGCGATACGGAGTCCTGCACTGGGCGCATGCCAGATCAGCGCAATTGCACCGCGTGGTGCGGTGAGCATGCGGGTCCTGGACGAGATAGACCGGCGTCATCGTATGGGTGTCGCATGATTTCAGCAAGTGCTCGCGGGCCGAAAATCAGCCAGATGTTTGATGAAAAGTCGGCAGGTGTTTTCCAACCCTCCCTCCGATTGGGCTCTTCTATTGAACAGAGCATTGCGGTCGCGATTCCGTCTTGTCTTCCCCAGCTTGCCTCCTATCTCCTCCTGCACTAAATCGTCGCACGTCCTTCTTCATTCGAGACGCTTCGCGCAACCACCAGCCCATCCAGAAGCGATGCCCAGGCGAGTTGCCCTGATCAGGGATGTGGAGGAGCATGCAGTGGAATACGGAGTTGGGGAAGCCGTCATACCCCCAGCGGGGAAGGACGAAGGAATCATCGGAGGAGGAGGAGGGGGAAGTGGGGGGAGAAGGGAGGAGGGAGGTGGGGGAATAGGCTGATTATGATGATGATGATGATGATGATGATGATGATGATGATGATGATGATGATGATGATGATGATGATGATGAGGAGGAGGAGGAGGAGGAGGAGGAGGAGGAGGAGGAGGAGGAGGAGGAGGAGGGGGGCGAGCAGAAAGGCCACAGGCCTCTTGGATGCCTCTCAGAGTCTCTTCGAATGTCTCTTGAGAGTTTCTTGGGGTCCCCTTTGGGCATCTTGGGGGCCTCTTGGCGGTCTCGGGACCTTCTTGGAGCATCTGCGGTGCCTCGGGGGAGCCTCTTGGTGCCTCTTTGTCGTTTATTGGGAGCCTCTTGGGGCCTTTTTACCTAACGGCGTTTCGCTAGAGGGTTCTCATAGAGATCAAAGATTCCTCTCACCAGAGTCTTGTTACGGGAGGCAAGGGGGAGGCGTCTCCCAGACCCTGCGGCGGCCCGGCAGAGCCGCACGGCAGCGCTCACTATGGTGTTTTGGCTCGATTCGGCACAGAAATGCGACTCAAGATTTTGTTCAGAAATGACGCTCACTACCGTGCTCTGGCCCGATTTCAGCCCTCCGAGATCCATACCTGAGACTTACGATGGCGTTCTGGCTCGATTTGGTCTAGACATGAAACTCACTGTTGTGCTCTGGCTCGATTCTCTTCGCCAGAATCTCCACAGGGGAGGCCAGGGGGGGGGGCGTCTCACCGGTCCGGCGACTGTCTGGAATTGGCTCATTATGGCGATCTGGTTCGATTCCAACCCTCGCAGATACCGAAATCAGATTCACGATGCTGTTCTGGTTCGACTTGGTCCAGAAGTGAGGCTCACTGATGTGTTCTGGCTCGATTTCAGCCCTCCCAGATCCAAAAATGAGATTCACTTTGCTGTTCTGGCTCGGCGTGGCCAATAAATAAATCAGAGTCACTCTTGTGTTCTGGTTTGGTTTCAGTTCAAAGATTCCTGTCGATAGAATCTCCACAGTGGGTGGCTAGTGTTCGGCCTCGATTTCAGCCCTCCCAGATCCAGAAATGAGATTCGTGTTGGTGTTCTGGCTCGATTTGTTTCAGATGTGAAGCTCACTATGTCTTATGGTGTTTGGGCTAGATGTCAGCCCTCCCCGATCCAACAATGAGACTCACGTTGCTGTTCTGGCTCGATTTGAGTTAGAACTGAGAGTCACTATGGTGTTCTGGCTTGGTTTCAGTTTAAAGATTCTTCTCACCAGAATTTCCACTTGGGGGGGGGCGAGTGTACTGGGTCGATTTCAGCCGTCGCAGATCCAGAAATGAGAATCATCATGGTGGTCTTGCCCGAGTCTGCCGTCGCAGGTCCAGAAATCGTGGCAGGGGCTTCGGATCTTCACCATTCCAGCTGTCCTAGGTCCAGAAAGTGTGGCAGGGCCACAGACCTCTCACCATTCAAGCTGCCAGAAGTGGGCTCGCTCGGTCCCTGATTCGCGTTCATGTCACCATGTCGACACCACGAGCGTCACCCTCGTCAGCAATTCTAACTCCGCAAGAATATCGACAGTATGATGAGGCCGTTGTCGCAGGTCGACATTTCCGGCGCCCGTCCGCCTCCACATTGTAGTTGTTTTTCGGGCGCCTTGCTGCGGCAATTGGGGCCTCTTGGGGTCTCCTGGGCGCCTCTTGAGGCCTTCTTGGGGCGCGTTTGAAAGCCTTGGGGGCCATTTCGGGGCCATCTTGAAGGAGCTCGAACAAAGAAGAGGCGGCCCTTAATTGGCCTGCCCCCCCCCCCCCAAGGGGCCAACATCTGCCCCAAGCCTCCGCAAAATCAATGATGTGTGCCTTCTCGTCGAGGCCTTCTTGGGCGCTCCAATCAGTCGCGGCAGCTCCCTCCAGGTCTAGGGGAGGGGCCAGGGGAGGGGTCAATCGACCCACAAGCAACAAGCCGTCTCGCTCCTTCCCACCCGCGCCTCCCAACGCTCAAGTAGCAAGCGAGTCTCAGCATTGACAGGGACCATTATCGACAACAACAGGTAACACATGCAAACGCCAGCCAGGTGCGCGAAGCCCGCCAGGTGCGCCGCACGTGCCAGCGGCGCCGCGCGCACCAGGTGCGCCACATTGGTCAACATGTCGACTTTCCCACCGCCCACCGCCCTTAGTTTCATATAAATATGTATAATGACGGAGCGTGTGTTGTGTGCAGGTGTGCGCCCACGATCGCTTTGCGTTTGTTGTTTGACAGGGATGGTTGGCATACACGCAGCAGGCAGGTATGCCGCCCACCCCCCGCTGTCCTTGGCAAGAAGATATATTGTTTACTGTTAGCTGAAAGGGATGGTCCCCGTTTCAGGCGTCACTTTCTGCTCCTTTCCAGGCCTCCCAGGTGGAACCAGAGCCCGCTGTCTTCCATGCTTCTGCCCCCGATGCATCGGCGATGCGGTGCGACCCTCCGACCACGTCTGCTCCAGCCCTGGTTGAGAGGCGCGCATCCTCCTCGTCCTCATCCTCCTCATTCCCGCAACAGTGCTTGCACTTAGGGGCTCCGTGCCTCTCCAATATCGAGGTGGGCCTGTGCGCCGGCCCGGCCGGCTTGCGGCCGCCCGTCGCCGCCGCCCGTGGCCACAATTCTGGTCACGATGTTGACTGTGCGAGGCTCGCAACCGGGACTCTGCGCAGGTCCGCCTGGCCTGTGGCCGCCCGTTGCCGCCGTCCATCGCCGCGCCATTTTGGTCACGACTCTGATTGCGCGAGGCTCGCATGTTGCGTTGCTTTGCATTGCTTTGTATTGTGACTGCCTTGCGTTACTTTACATGTGTTTGCATCACATTGATGTCCATTGCCTTGCATTGCTTTGCGTTGCTTCGCATGGTATTGCATTGCACTACAATGTATTGAGTTACATTGCTTTACACGGCTCTGCAATGCTTTGTCTAGCATTGCATTGGTTCGAATTGCTTTGCGTTGTTTACTGTTGTTTGCAAAGCATTGTTTGCAGTGTCTTTGCAGTGTTGTACATTGCTTTGGATGGCTCTGCATTGCTTCGCATCGATGTGCATTGAGTTGCGTTGCTTTGATTTGACTTGCTGTGCATTGCTTTGGATTGCTCTGCATTGCTTTGGATTGCATTCCGTTGCATTGCCTTTTATTGTTTCGCATTGCATTGCATTGCATTGAGTTGCACTGTTTTGACACGATTTGCATTGGATTGCAAAGCGTCGCAATGTTTTGTATGACTGTGCACTGGATTGTCCTGCGTTGTTGCACTGCTGTGCAATGCTTTACACTGCTTTGCCTTGCTCAGCGCCACATAAATGACATCACATTGGTTCCACCACCTACATTGCACCACATTGATTACACAACCTAGATTGCACCGCGCATGTTGCAAGAACGCACTGTTTGGGGCCCGCGCTGGGCAACATTCTTGCTTGCTCTTGCCCCACCTTCGAGCCAGTGCAGCGGGCACGCAGAGCACTGGCGATCTCACTGTGCACCGCTCTAAGCAGTGAGAGAGTCGAGAGCAACCGCAACCACACTTGCGAGGCACTCCTGAAAGAAGGAAGATCGAGCCAGAAAGAGAGAGAGAGAGAAGGAAAGAGCTCAAAAGGAGGAGCAGACAAGACACGGCACGGATGATGTAAGTTGTGTTCCTCCTTTCTCCCCCCTCATCATCTCCCTCCTCATCAACGTAATGTGGGGTTTCTCCTCCCTACCACCTGCTTGTACGCGCAAGCTGTGCACCATCATCCCCCCCCCCTTGCTGCGCTCCCTCCCCGAGTCATTCCTGTGTGCCCGCTTCTGCCTTGCCGCCCACGTCCCCCGCATGCCGGGTCGGAAGTTGCCTGGGACGCCGCCGCTGCCCTCGGGAGCTGCCGAGGTGCCTGGCTACGCATACCGCGTGCAGGAGACCCCCCCTCTTGCTGCCGCTCGGGTCGTGGATGTGTTCGCCACTTTCGGCCTCCCGGGGTCCTCCCCCGGGCCCCAGGACCGTCACAGAACGACTCGGCGACTCGGGGTGGAGGGCCTTTTCCTGGAAAGCCCCAGAGCTGAAGAGCCGCTTTCACCAGGAGCCCTGCCCATCATGCCAACGCTGCACTGCCTGGCGGCCTCGGTGGGCTCGCGCATTCTCGCGCCTTTCCAAGCCACGCAACAAGCATGGCGACCATTGTTTGCAAAGTCTGCGCCCTCGAACGCTCGGTTCGGGCCCGACGACTATCGAAGATCAGCTCGGGGGAAACAACAACGAGTGGAGACCTATGGGAACCCACGCCAAGGAAACTACATGTCGTCGGAAATTTGCGTTTCCATGGCTGAGTAGATTCGCCCACACCGCACCGCCCGCGGCGGAGGGGACAGGCAGCAGGAAGAGGACGGGGGGCGCAGCCCTGAAGGTGCGACGACTCGTGAGCGAGGGCTGAGCTGGGACTTTGCCTTGGTACTACCTCCACTTCGACTGATTCAGTGAAGGCGTCTGGATGTGAACACCCAACTGACCGGCTGCGAACGGGCACCAACGAATAGAAAAGGAAGAGGAGAAGGAGGATGAGAGGAGGAGGCGATGGACGAGGGAGAGGAACGAGGAACGAGAGGAGTACCGAGAAGGACAGAAGGAGGAGGGAGGTTCTTGATTGGAGCGTTGTTGAGCTGTGCATGCCGCGCTTGCCCAATCAACAGTCATCACCAGTCGCTGGCGCAGGCGTGAAAAGCGCGAGATGTTTGTGCAATCTAGGCCATAAGCTTTAGCAGAGACCAGATCACAGGGGCAATAAGCGCCACAAAATGTCAAGCCATCGCAACCATGGCGGCCAAAAAGGACGACGTCTGTCATCTAACTATGGTCAGGGAATGGCAGAGGCGAGCTTGCAGCAACGCCGTGAGCCTTAGGTTCGGGAGGCTACAGAGGCACGCAGCGATGCAGTGCACCGGCTGCTCTAAACGCGGCAGGGGCGGTTGGGCCAGCATGCCTGGAGCAAGGGCACCGAAGGCAGCAACATTGATAGCAGTCAGTACAAAGTGAATGAGTATCGAAAGGACCACCCTGCGGGTAATAAGGAGGTCCTGGGTGTTGCAAGCTTCGATTCGCGATTAGCGTCGGGTCGGGTTCGCGATAGCTATATACGTGTATACCTACATATGTCTCTTTCTATATAAATAAGTATATATATGTGTATATATGTATGTTTGTATGTATGTATGTATGTATGTATGTATGTATGTATGCATGTGTGGACACACATGCATCACATCGAGATCGTAATATGGAACACGATGGCTCGGTCCGTACATATGTATGTGTATGTGTGCATTTAAGTGTAGGTGTTGATATATGTGTTTATATGTATGTATATATACACGTATATATATATACATATATATGTGGGTGTGCGTGCACATGTGCGAAACAATGTGCATATAGAAGGATGTAGGTACGCACGTGCGTCTGTCTGTCTGTCTGTCTGTCTGTCTGTCTGTCCGTCTGTCTGTCTGTCTGTCTGTCTGTCTGTCTGTCTGTCTGTCTGTCTGTCTGTCTGTCTGTCGGTATCTCTGTCTGTCTGTGTTTATGTCGGAGGTGAGGGGGTGAGATCGAAGTGGAACGGAGAGCCCCCCTACCGGGAAATCGATTTCGGTTTCGTGTTCGTGCGTGCCGTGCGGGCGAGGCGAAGCTGCGTGGGCGGGCGAGAGAAAGTCTCCTGTGGCTGAGGCGCGGCCGGACCAAATGACTCCCTTCCGGGCGGCCGGAGGCCCGCAGTGTCCCGCCGGTGTCCCGCTGGTGTCCCGTGTGGCTGAGGCGCGGCCGGACCAAATGACTCCCTTCCGGGCGGCCGTGGGCCCGCGGTGTCCCGCCGGTGTCCCGCCGGTGTCCCGTCGGTGTCCCGTCGGTGTCCCGATGATGATGACGATGTCGATGATGTTGATGTTGATGATGATGATGATGGTGATGGTGGTGATGATGATGGTGTCCCGATGATGATGATGATGATGATGATGATGATGATGATGATGTTGACGATGTTGATGATGATGGTGATGATGATGGTGATGAAGGTGATGATGATGGTGCCCCGATGATGATGATGATGATGTTGTTGATGATGATGATGATGTCGCTGATGATGGTGGTGATCCGTTGATGATGATGATGTTGATGATCATGATGATTATGATGATGATGAGATGATGATAAGTTGTTGATGATGATGGTGGAAATGATGATGATGGTGCCCCGATGATGATGATGCTGATGAGGTTGGTGATGATGCTGTTGATGAGCATGGTGATGATGATGATGGTGTCCCGATGATGGTGTTGATGATGATGATTACGATGATGGTGTCCCGATGATGATGATGTTGATGATGAGGGTGGTGACGAGGTGATGGTGACGATTTTGATGATGGTTGCCCGACGATGGTGCTGATGATGATGCTGATGTTGATCATGATGGTGTCCCGACGATGATGATGTTGATGATGCTGATGTTGCTGATGATGAGCGTGATGATGATGATGGTGACGATGCTGATGGTGTCCCGGTGATGATGTTGGTGATGATGATGATGATGTTGCTGATGATGATGGTGTCCCGATGATGATGGTGATTATGTTGTTCATGATGATGATATGATGATGCTGATGGTGGTGTTCCGATGATGATAATGAGGTTGATGATGATGATGCTGGTGGCGATGATGGTGTCCCGATGATGGTGATGATGATGATGTTGATGATGATTGTGATAAGGTGCTGATGGTGGTGTCCCGATTGTGATGATGATGACGCTGATGATGAAGGTGATGCTGATGATGATGATGGTGGTAATGATGATGTTGATGACGTTGGTGACGATGATGTTGATGATGTTGATGCTGACGTTGATTGCGAGATCGATTGTGAGATCGATAGTGAGATCGAATGTGATATTGAATGTGAGTTCGATAGTGAGATCGATAGTGGGATCGATTGTGAGATCGATAGTCAGATCGATTGTGAGATCGATCGAATGAAATAGATCGAGTGATATCGATTGTGAGATCGATCGAGTGGCATCGATCGAGGGAGAACGATAGTGAGATCGACAGTGAGATCGATAGTGAGACCTATCGAGTGAGACGTTGGCTCCCCCCCCCCACCCCGAACCTCCTTATCACCCGAAGGGTGGTCGTATAGGTATGTATGTATGCACGGATGGATGTAGCTTTGTTTTTGTGTGTATGCTTAGGTGGATGTCACGCATCCCACCCCTTCCAACTTCCTCCTCCTCCTCCTCCTCCTCCTCCTCCCCTCCCTCCCTCCCTCCCTCCCTCCCTCCCTCCCTCCCTCCCTCCTCCCCCTCCCCCCCTCCCTCCCTCCTCCCCCCTCCCCCCCTCCCTCCCTCCCCCCTCCCTCCCCCCCTCCTCCCTCCCTCCTCCTCCCTCCTCCTCCTCCTCCTCCTCCTCCTCCTCCTCCTCCTCCTGCTCTCCTCCTCCTCCTGCTGCTCCTCCCCCATCCCCCTCCCCCTCCTCCTCCCCCTCCTCCTCCTCCTCCTCCTCTCCTCCTCCTCCTCCTCCTCCTCCTCCTCCTCCCTCCTCCTCATCCTCATCCTCCTCCTCCTCCTCCTCATCCTCCCCCCTCCTCCTCCTCCTCTTCCTCCTCCTCGTCTCCTTCTCTCTCTCCTCCTCCTCCTCCTCCTCCTCCTCCTCCTCCTCCTCCTCCTCCTCCTTCTCCTCCTCCGCCTCCTCCTCCTCTTCCCCCTCCCCCTTCCCCCCCCCCATCCTCCTCCCCCCTCCTCCTCCTCCTCCTCCTCCTCCTCCTCCTCCTCCTCCTCCTCCTCCTCCTCCTCCTCCTCGCTCGCTCGCTCGCTCGCTCGCTCGCTCGCAGACTAAAGGCCCATGCAGTTCGCAGCCTCTTCTGGGATTAAAAAGGGGGAAGGAGACAAAAAGAGCACGACGCAGGCAGCAGCTGTTGTGACATCAGGGGTCCCTTACCAACACTTGCCAGCATCGAGAGCCTCTGGGCCACAGGTTACAACAGATACGGATCGAGAGGACCAAGAGCCTCCGCACCCACAGGAAGTTCAAAGTCCCCCTCACACAACTGCCGTAACATACAACTGTCCCAACCATCGCAAAAGGAGAGGGCAATCAAGGTCGACACAGGAGCGGGCAACGTAACACTAATACACCCACAGTTGCCCTGAGACATGCAATGCACATGATCGCCCATGCACCCCCATCCTCCCTCAGTCTCAACCCTCTGGCGGAGACTCGGCATCCACGATGCCACGATGCCGATCGGGTCCCACTCCGCGCCACCTGAGACAGCGCACCTCTCGAACCTGATAGCACTGGCGGCAGGGCTGGCAGCAACGGCATCAAGAAAGGGGAAGCAGTCAAACTCGAGCAGATGACCAATTTTCTGCTCCGACAGGGTGGCCCATGGAACTCCGTGGGCCTGCGCAAACACCGCCAGTCTCAAGGCCCCTTTCGTCACCCCGTTTTCCTGCATGAGGCGATCACGCTGCCTAGAATTGGCAAAGGGTCTCCCCCAGGGAAACCCGGAATCTCTAAGAGCCCGTTCCACTCTCACTCCGAACCTCGGGAGGAAAAAAACAGCCCCCCGCGACGCGGCCCTGGGAAACCTTTTCAGTCCAATGGGCGGCCAGCCCCTCAGTCCACTGAGAGTGCGAGAAATGCTGAATGGCTATCTGCACTCCTTTCCGTGACAGAATCGTGGTGAGCACTTGGTGGAAATCGCCACTCAGCCTCCCCTCACCAACGATCAAAAAAACTGAAGCAAGGCTCTCAGCACGGGTCAGAGCAGTTGGCGCAACACAAACGGGGGCCTCGACAGCCACAGTAGGAGCATCAACAGCAACTCCTCTCCCAAGATCGAGCATAGGTGCTAAGGGTGGGCCTGGCACTCGGTA